TGTAGAAAAAGTCTACTGGGGTCTGGTGGGGTTCGCTTCTTCTTTTCTATCTAACATCTATCGTCCTTATATTCTCTCCTCCTTCTTTTTTATGTTTGTTACTCTCTTGTAACACCTCTAATCTTTGGCGCTCATATGACCTTATGCAGTTGCGAGCGCCGTAAAACCTTACTAAAACAAACAAAAACAAAAATGCCATGGTCCTTCAGCGTTTTGATGATCGAGTGCAGGGTGTCAATGGTTGGGTCACCTTTTTCTCTCTTTTGTTTCTGTCTATTATTCTCTGTTTTTCCAAGCGCGAAATGATCATTATTGTGTCGATGTGAGCGTCTTTATGCTAACAAACAAACAAACACATAAACACATAAACAAACAAACAAACAAACGACTGTATTTGTGCGGACTCACAGAAGAGACAGAAAGCTGCCAGTAACATTTGGTACAACTAAGACAAATGATGAACATTTTGAAAACAACACCCTAAATGAGGATATTTGGTTTTTTAAAAGAAAATGGGCATGACACAAAAAATGCCCCAACCCCAAAAAACAACAACAACCAACAAACAAACAAACGAATAAAAAAACAAACAAATAAATAAATAATTAAAAAACAAACAAACAAACCAACTAACAAATAGCCAAGCATACAAAAAATCAAGTAAAGAAATAGCTTTGAAAAGAAAACAATCAAACACACAGACAAGCAAACAAAACAAACACACAAACAAATGCACACACAAACAAACAAGTTGTTGATCACACACACTTCATTAGTTGTGGAGCGGAAGCAACATTTTTTGGCACATAGTTCCCCCCCCCCTCTCTCTCTCTCTCTCTCTCTCTCTCTCTCTCTCTCTCTCTCTCTCTCTCTCTCTCTCTCTCCTTTCTCCTCTCTTTCTCTCTCTTGTCTTGTTTTAGTTTTAGTAGCTATATGTTTTGAACGTCCTAAACTAGCGACGACAATCCCTGTTAATTTATGACCTAATTGTGTTGTAAGTGCCGTAAAACTCTTACTAAATCTCTGCCCCTCCCCGCCCCCCTTCCCCTCAGTTCTACACAGTTATCCTGATGAGTTCCGAAGAGCTGGATGACAACATGCAGTTTATCCTCAAAGACCCAAAGTGGGCCAACAGAGTCCTCTACATACGCGGATCAGCCCTCAAGGATATAGACCTCAAGAGATGCCGGTATGTCTTAACTTTTTGCTTCTTTTTCTTTTATTTCATGTTTGTTTTGTGTGTGTGGGGGGGGGGGCGGGATCCTCAAATAGTATTGGTTGTTTTGATTTCAGTGTTGCGTGCTGTGATGTTTTGTGTTAGGTGATTTGTAAAGGAGGTAGAATCTGCCTCAGGGGGGCTCTCGTGGCCTAGAGGTTAAGGTGTTGGCCTCTCATTCAAAGGTCCCGGGTTCGAATCCGGGTAGCGACCGAAAAATTTTCTTCTCTAAATTTGTCTCCGTTCACCTCAATTCCTGCTCTCTAGCAATGTTCTGTCGTCTGCTTTCGTCTTCTCTCTCTGCCCCCTTCCCCTCACCTCCTTTGCCCCCTCCTCTGGGCTCCTGATTCTTTCTGCAGCCTTTCTACTGCTACTCCTTCGCTTCTTCTTACTGCTGTCTTTCAGCCACACCCCTGATCTTCTGGTATGAAAGATCTACACCTAGCCTTCTCGGAAAAGGGCGAAACATCTCGGAGGGCCCGTGTGCAAGTTGCGCACGTTAAAGATCCCTTGTGGTCTAAAATCGATAAGAGTAGGC